TTGATATTTTTAAAATAAAAGAGTAAGGCAGTTTTAAAAGAGAGTATATTTAAGTACAGTCTATAGGCAACAGATTTAGTTGCTGTGAAAGCTTTGGAATTCTAGGTGTTTCCTGGAATTCAAGGCTAAAACCCAGGAACCCCCGTTATCCTTTGGATATAAGACATCTTATGAGTGAGAGAAATGGTGCTTTCAAGGCAACTGCATGTGGCTGTGCAGATTGTGCACTGTATGAGGTGTATGTATGATGTCATACATTGTAGGATGATAACATTTTCCATTCAATCTTGGCTCCCCTTCCCCCCACTTTGGTGTGTCTGAAATACTAATTTTTCTCTCATGCTTTGCTTTTTGTCTGAATATCATTTAAGTGTCTTCCTTTGCATATTAAGTTACATTATCCTTTATTAAAAATTAAAATTCCTGTCTCTACTTTTTGTTCTCTTTCCATTGTTCTGTTTAATCTGTCACAGTGAGACTTTTTCAATTATTGTGACTTGTAATGACTTGCTTTAATCTTTTTTTAAACTTATACTTACACATTTATTTTTTCTAAATATACCTAGAGCCACTATATTAATATTTTTGAAAGTGTGTTGAATATAGAGCAAAATTCTGTTAAATGTATACTTCATCCAGGCTCTGCACATATTTCGTTTTTATTACACACAGGTTGCGTTTATCTTTTGAGTAGTTTGAATGGGTTTTTGTCCATAATATTTTCTTATTGGTTGTTGATAATATATGGAAGAGTATCAGTTTTGTCTGAGTATCTTGAAACCAGTTCTGATATATTTTTCAGTTGACTTTCTTGGGTTTTCTGCAAATAATAAAGGTAGTCTAGTTTTCATCTTTATATTTGTACCTTCTTTCTTGTTGCATTGCATTGACTAGAATTTCCTGAACAATGATGAATAATAACAGTGATACGGGGAAATGTTGACTTCATTTGTAGATAGAAAAATATTTGGCATACATTTGGACATACTTTTAAAAAATACATAACAGCTTTATTGAGATAATTTACATACCATAAAACTTACTCTTTAGAAGCATACAAGTGAGTGTATTATAGTATATTCACAGAATTGTGCATCTGTCACCCTTACCTAATTTTGGAACATTTTCATCACCCCTAAAAGAAACCTAGTACCCATTAGCAAACAGTCCACATTCCCACTCTCCCCAACTCCTGGCAACCCCTAATCTACTTTCTGTCTCTATGTATTTACTTATTTAGGGCATTGCGTATAAATGGAATCATACAGTATGTATTCTTTTGAGACTGACTTATTTCACTTAGCATAATGTTTTTGAAGCGCATCCTGCTGTAGCATGTATTAAAACTTTATTGCTTTTTAAAGCTGAATAATACTCCATTGGGAGCTCTGGTGGCATAGTGTCTAAGGCACTTGACTGCTAACCAGAAGGCTGGAGGTTCAAACCCACCAGCCACTCCTCAGAAGAAAGGTTGGGCAATCTACTTCCATAGAGATACTGCCTCAGAAACCCAAGGAGGGGTCACTATGAATCGGATCTGACTAGACGGCACATAACAACAATATTCCATTGTATCAATATACGACATTTTGTCTGCCCATTCCATCAGTTGAGGACATTTGGGTTGTTTTTACTCTTTGGCTATTATGAATGCTGCTGCTGTGTATATTCATGTACAGGTCATTGTTAGGACATATGTTTTCATTTCTCTTGGATATACACACACACAGACACACACATACATACGTGTGTGTACATATACGTACATACATGTATGTATATATACATATATACATATATATGTTGTTGTTGTTGTTTGCCGTCGAGTCGGCCCCGACTCATAGCGACCCCTCCTTGGGTTTCCGAGGCGGTATCACTGCGGAAGTAGGATTGCCCAACCTTCCTTCCGAGGAGTGGCTGGTGGGTTTGAACCGCCAGCCTTCTGGTTAGCAGTCAAGTGCTTTAGCCATTATGCTAC